TGTTTACAAATCATGTCAAAAATGTGATTAACCTGATAAAATTGTATTTGCCCATTACACGATTTTGTGGAAAACCTTGTCGTCTATGCTGCAAAAGGGGTTGCTTATCATTGATACATTAATATAGCCAGACGGAAGGGTTGGGTGTAAATTGCCCCTTGGCGTAAACTGTTATAATAACTCGAGGATCGTGTTTATGGTGGTCCTAACTCATATCGGACACATTTTCCCCTTCTTATTTGAATTTATCGCTTCACTTTCACCCTCGATCGAGTGGTTTTAGTGCGGCAAACCGTTTCCTTCCTACTGTTAATATTTGAACTGAAAGTATTGGGTGTAATTAAGGTATTTCAAAAGCAAAATCGCTTTTAACGTGTATTTTATGTATTTTTATCTAAAAATTATTGTAATATTTTGTTTGACATAATAATCTTGGAAGACGTATACAAATAGATGTATTATGAGACAAACCATTGCTAAATAATACTACATATTCATGAATTGTAGATAATAGTTAAGAAATAAATATATCCATTTATCAGACCCAAAGTAAAAAAAAAAGTTAGTAAAAGTAAAGTCGATATAGCGAAACTATAGAAAGGAATATCAATAAAATCGAGCAATTGTCAATTTTTGTAAGGTTTCCTCCTGCGATCAGAAGAGGGTGAATCAGTAACTTCAGATTCAGTCCAACCATCAACACTGGTGGGTTTATTGACTTGCCTCATTCAGTACATTGTGGTCGTCAGGAATAAACTTGTAATGATTTGACGCGGGTCTGTTTTTTTTTAATTCTATAACCATTGTGGGTGTTATCTCTCAAATCATGTCAACTCTACAACTCTGTCGCCTCGGAAGGACCTACAGTTTGGTCGTTACTTGTCATTTTGGTGAGCCAATCCTATCTGGTTCGTCTGTAACACGCGTTTCAGCATTTAGTCACCTTTGGCAGGATTTTAGACTGGCCAGCGAGAAGCCCGATTTAAGACAGTCATAAAACTTACGGGGCTACGTGGCAAGAAAGGTAACAAGTACACATATTTTTTGACCTGCTGAGTTGAAGGCTAGTGTTCAAGATGATTGACTTTTTCAAAGACTGTCCGACTAAATTTCATTTTTTTTTCATTGAATAACCGAGTAATTTAAGCAATTAAAAAACTTGTGAGATTTTTCACAATCCTGCGAGATGGTCTGCGGGGTGACAAACCTGTATTTTGGTAGTTTCTGATCATTTTGGTCTGCTTAGCCTTGTTTGGTCTAGCAGACGCATTTCGGCTTTTCGCAATATTGAGGGACAAATCACGGGTATAAGCGGGGTGAGGCAAGACTCCAAACCCGGCACTGGAGGCCAAATACCGAACTCACCTGGCAGGCCAACCGAACGAGGATAGGCCGACGAAAATAATATCTTTGGTTAATTGATCCTTTTACCTTTTAGTATTTATTACTAAAAAACATTGAACTAATCTAACTTGTCAAATATAATTTTATAAAGATTTTATTTGATTCTCTTTGATGGAGCAACGTATAATCAGACTTTTTGTACTAAAAATAAGAGGGAAGAGTTTTTGGGAGGAAGTTTGGTAGAATATTTGATCTCTGTGTCTCAGAAGGGATGAAGGCAAGAGTGGTTGGAGAAGAGAGAAGAACACGCGGGAGAGATCGAATTTCCCGGATTGAATTCAAAATTAGCCTTGGAGTTAGTTGAACGAGCTGAAATTCGGTGTCGGAATGGAAATCGTGCCGGCTCCTTCAATTCGTCGGAGGAAACGATGGCTATCAAAGAGGCGGCGGCACGGAGTGTGGTTCGACCAATTACCTACTTACCGTCCGGCTAAACCTAAGTGGACGGCCCCTCAAAGCCTCGGTCACGCGCCCCCTTAAATCTCAATAAAACCTGTTAATTTTTTTAAAAGCGACTTCCCGTTTTTTTCCAGATTGGGCTAACTAACCATTTAAGGGCTGGAAGGGGGTGTCGAGAAGCGAAGCTTCGACCGTCTTGAGAGTGGCGAACCCCCATTTTTCAGTTGGTACAAAGGCTTACAGAGAAAATTTTATCGTTAAACTCTTTAGGTTGTATTTTTTTTAAATCAATGTTACAATTGGCTTTTATTTTACTGAAAACAGTGGGAATATTACGGTGATATGTGAAAATAGGCTGCACTTGTTGAAAAATATGAGCATTAGAATCAAAGAGATATAAGATTTGTATCAAGCCATGAAATATATAGTTTATATTTCTCGAAGGTGTGTCAAACTCAATCCAATATAGTTTCATTTAGATTTGCCATTCGAATTATGGACGCACTTAGGTCATGCTGAAAATGTCGCAGAGGAAGATAATAGAACCAATTGCAATGCTCTGGTTCTGCCTTTGTGCATAATTTTCAACAAATCTGGGATAGGTGGAATCTGTCCATCAGTTTGGAAACATGGTACAATTGAAACAATTCGTGAGAAGGGAGATAAATTGAATATAGAAAATTATCGCCCGATTTCGTAGCTCCTTCTTATCGTTAAGATTTTTGATTTGTTGGTGGCTGACTTCCTCACTCTATCCGTCAGTAATTATTTTATTAGGATGTTTAAAGGATTTATTAAAGGCCGGTCCACAACTATATATAAAGATATGAATGTATAAGGACTTTATTTTGGATACTTTAGAGAATGGATTGCAAGTTTACTTGAACGCTCACACATCTAAAGCTTTTGTCTAAATCGATGATGCCATTTTATTGAGAAACGTCGAGGCTTTTGGGGTTGAAAAGCCTCTTGTCAACTGGTTTGACGTCTTATCTCAATGGTAGATCTCTATATTTTTCAATGGAGCTACCTCAGAAAGAATCGAAATTGCCTCTGGTACGATATCAGACGTCAGGAAAGGATTTAGAACCGAGTTCTTAAATGTATTTCCTCCAGGATTACTGGTCATGAATCTGACGATGACTATTCATCCATTAGCAACTTAAAGTTGGACTCATTCGAGCTTTGAAGGAAATTTAGCTTCCTATCCTTCGATTGGAAGGTGCTCAACAACTCGATGGACACAACGGATATCTTCACCACGTCCCTCAGCATACCCTAAGGAATGTCTCACTTTTCCATATGGATTTTCACCGGACCAAATAAATTAAAAATTTTGACATAACAATTATGCAAAGGACAGATATTAGATAGATACAAGGATGTTAACAAATTCACGAAGGCATCTCTGCTTGAACTCAGGGAAGAAAAAATGTTGGTAGCTGAGGAATATGTGTAATTTATACTGCAGGTAAAAGCATCAAAATATGAAAAACATCATAGAAATGAAAAATCAAATGAGATTGCAAAGTAAGGCGAGGGATGATAATGTTTCAATTATATTCTGCAAAGTACGTATCAAAACCCAGGCAAAATTTCAAGTTTTAAAAAGATGGGGCGACATATTGGACACAAAGTGGAAGAAAGTACCACTCACAAATCGTGCTCATTTAAAACTTTTTCAATTTATCGACTCAGTGTGTTCATGTGAATGCTGAGAACAGAATTGGAGACCCAACATTCAAGAGTTTGCAAAGAAATTGTTTAGTACCATCTTTACAAAATGGTAGTTGGTCAACATGAAAAGAAATAATGTTCAGGTCTTTGGTAGAGTTTTTGACATTTAATTAATTCATTGTATGTCATACCTATAACTAAAATAATGACGAAATCTAGCAAATCTAGAATTGTATTAAGATTAACGGAAAAACTTCCACTAAGTTAGGTGAACAATAGAAACGCTTCCTACGGAACAAATTAGCGATGGTAATTGAACATTGTTTCTACAAATAATAAAAACACAAGTCAGCGCACTTGCGGTTCACGCCATGTAACCATATATTTGATTTTTAAAATGTAAAAATTGTTTAAAAAAAAATACCATCAGCAATAATTTTGGGAAGATGTAGACGTCAAGAGAGAAATATTCTATCAACTAGCAGCGGCGTATCTAGCCGAAGATCGTGGGTTCGAATCCCGCTCGTGCCATTGACTTTTTTTATCTCAACTAAAAACCTTAATTATTTGTAATATATTAATTGGTCAAGCGGACCACGAAATTAATGAATTTAATTATTTAAAATGAAGTATACTCCACTAAAGCTCTCCGTGGCAATTTCATTTCTCGTCGAGAATCCAATCCGAATACACGACATTTGAAAAATGGCAAAAAGGAGTGAAAATTCAAAAGGTGGGATTGAGATGGGAAGTTAGTGTCCGAGTGGATCGAGGTTACGATAGCTCAAGTGGTAGAGCAGCGGCGTATCTAGCCGAAGAACGTGGTTCGAATCCCGCTCGTGCCATTGACTTTTTTATTTCAACTAAAAATCTTAATTAATTGTAATATATTAATTGGCCAAGCGGACCACGAAATTAGTGAACTTACAAATTATTTTTCAACGTGCATTTGTGATTCAGCCAGTCCTCTTTTACTGCTTACGTTTGTATTATGTCAGTTATTCAGCTAATAGTGGAATACTAAATTTGAAATAATTTTATCTTAAGTCATAGTACGAACATAAAAATTGATGGTGAACGGTGATCATTCATAGAAAGCATGTATTATCTGTTCAGTATTTTAAAACGCGTTATGAAGGTAGAATTGGATGTCCCTTCTTGTGAAGATGAGATTCCAATTTAGTAATTTAGCCGTGTATAGGGATGGGACACATGTGACCCGCACCCCTTGTCAACCATCGATAATTCACCTCCTATCGATCACGAAAAGCGCTGAATTATTCAGTTCGATCTTTAAGCTCATTCTTGTCCAACCCCGATCCATTATTCACCCTGATCACTTACCTCTTAATAAACTTTGCTCTCCCACCGCAAACTCCAGGGTGTATTTAGTCGGACGTAACAGGTGATTCGGTAAATATTTGTTGCTTCCGTCGGGTCGGTCGGCCATTTAAATTTTTAATCTTGTTTCTGTTATTTATGCTGTTTAAATATTTTCAACTTTATCTAATTTGTTGTAGCAAATGGAGACGATGGATTCAGGAGTTGGAACAGTCCGACGATTCCCCGAAGTCCGGAGTATATTACCTCTTCCAAACCAGAATCCAGCCCTACAGGTAAGACTTATATATTGGTACCGAAAATGTCAAATAAATCGTTTTGCTGGGCAGAAAAAAATCGGGGATCATTTTACCCCTTTAAAAAAAATAGAACATTGTAAATGTTAAAGACATTTGTCACACTTCGTGCTCCACTTTTGTCCCGTTGACGGGCGAAGCGAGCAAATGACCCTTCTCGAATCTTTGGGTCCTGATAGAGACACTTGTCTCCCCTCCTCACAATATGCTATACAATATCAATGAATTCGTTTAATCAGCGGATTTCACGGGCTCCGAGGTGTTTGTGTTGTGGGCCGGGACAAAAGGGCGAGGGCTGACGAAGGAGGCACATCTGTTCAAATGGGCGCAATATGCTCCCTGGGTGGTTTTTATACGCTCTATAACCCCGCACCGCCTCTGGACATTAGTCACATCATTTTACGTTCATTTGGCCAATTCTGGCGACTGGGCGATTATATTTAAATGTACGCATGGATGCATGTCGATAATATTCACCACCTCGGGGGTCATTTCGATATAAGACCCAACAAACAATTATACTACAATGATAACCCAACGTTAGTTCGTTCGTTTTGGCACCAAATGAAAAACGGTATGATTAACATCTAAAAGTAACTTATTAAGGATTCCAAATAATTATTAACCTTTAGTAAGTTTGTGTATGATATTTTTTATTTATATAAACTCAATTCTGCCCATAAATCCACTGTGCACATACATGTTCCCAACCGCGTCTATGACTTCACGTAACAAGCCGCCAGAATCACCCACTTTGGTGTTCTGGTTGGTCATACCCGTATAGTACGAGATATTTCTCCATTACCCTTTCACGCATATAGACAAATATAAATATAACTAGTCTGCTTAAGGATCATAGGTACTTGCCATTCCGCCATCGACAATATTGCACTAAACATACACTCACGCAAATAAATACATTCTCACGAAACTGTTAAACCATTTATCCCAACTTTAGCACATACAACAGGATTACCTGCAATACAAAATAACTATATACACAAAATTACTCGTTTACTCCAGAAATCGGAATAGGGACCCAATAATTTAGCTGCTTGCTTGAGCAAAATTCTTATATCGGGGAGGGGGAGGTTATTCCTACTCGCTCACTACATAAAACCAAGGAGTAACACACACCCTTCATGTCGAGTAACTCTTCATTGTAAGATAGGCATATACGCGGGCGTTGGACCAAAAGTAAGTGACCGTGTGTAAACAGCATATGACCAAGTTGGGTTAGGATGATCCTTCTGCGGCTTAGGTTATCCATCGGCCACTTGTGCGCTTTGCGCGCAAGAGCTTCTCGGATGACAGTCCACTGATGCAGCCATATTTTGTTTACTATATTCTTTATTGGTCGCTTTGCTTAAGCGGGTCGGATGGCGATAGTAAGGTCTGGAGTTTGAGCAGGCTTTCTCCGCTTCGTCTGGACGTTCATTGCCTTCCGATTTTCCGAGGCTTATTAATTTATATATTTATCTAAACTAGTCAAGGTCGTTGAGTTTCCTTCTATTCCTTACTTTATTTGCTGAGTTTTATAAGGATACCTTATGTCATATCTCGATATTGGGCTGGGTTAACTGTTATTAATAAAAGGCAAGGATGCAGAAAAGCCATCGATTAACGGTTTCTGTTTTGATACTTTAAGCGAGGTATCGGAATGAGGTATAGAAAAAACAAACAAAGATAGTAATGTCTATGTAAATAATGAAAGCAATGTCTGCAAAGTTTCCTTTCTTAACAGAAATAATTATAATTATTTTGGCCTCAACTTCAACCGATTCTGAAAAATAGAAAGTAAAGTTTCAAGAAAAATATTGGAAAACAGTATTGTCCATAGACACCTAGATAAATTTTAGATTTGCAAACTAGATGGGATTTTGCCTTTTGCGAGTTCGCCTGACTAATTTGATTAAAAATCGGCGATAAAGAAAGTTTTGATTTAAAATTTAAAAACAGGGGCGTGGCACTCTATATTCCAAATAATATCCCCTCTAGGAAAATTGATTTAAGTAGCAGTCTCCAGCCAGTAGCCGTTGAAGTGCTTGCTCCGTTAAAATATTCCTTATGTTCAGTATATCTTCCTAATAACTTTTTTCAGAAGAAGAAGTAAGAAATTTATTTTCGCAACTTCCGTCCCCTGCAATGATTATGGGCGATTTTAATGCTCATTCCATTACCTGGGGATGTTCATCAAATAATCGAGGAGGGATTGCGTTGGAAAATATTATTAATGAGGGAAACTGGATAATACTGAATGATGGAACATACACTCATCTGGATACTTATACCGGGTCAGTTAGTGCAATAGATCTGACGATTGTTTCTCCGTCCCTAGCGAATGGAATGTCCTAGAAACGGATGTCCAAAGTGATCACCTCCCCATTAGAATAGAGTCCCATATTCGTAAAATGGATTTTGAATTTTGTCCTAAATGGAATACCCGCATGGCAGATTGTAATAAGTATGCACAAATTGCCCACCTTACTAATCTATGTAACAACGTGAACATAGACGTTGCCACGTTTACAGAAAAAATTAAAGCTGCCGCCAGGAAAGTTCGTAACTGGGTTCCGTGGTGGAATAGGGAATGCCAACTTGTCTGTAGAGCAAAAAAAAGGCCCTAAGACGGCTGCGGAGGTTTCCGACTGATGAAAATTTGTCAAACTTTCGTTAATCCAGAGCCAAAGAAAGAAGAGTAATAAAGGAAGCCAAACAAAACTCTCTAAAATATTTAATTTCCAATTTAACACCACGTATGGAATCTTCGGATATATGGAGGAAGATCAGGGCAATTTCGGGCAAAAGAAAACCCCCAATTATGCCGATACTTCGTGCAGAATACATGGTCATAACAGAACCGTTTCAAATTGCTGAGCGTATAGCTTGTCATTTTGAATCTGTTTCTAATTCCAGCTGGTATTCGGAGCGTTTCAGGCAGATAAAGGAGAAGGAAGAAAGAAACGATTTAAATTTTGCAACTGATGAAGAAGAAGTTTGGAACACTCTCCTCACTCTGGAATAAAATTTTGGGAAATTAAGTCGTGCCATATACAGTTCAGAGCCCGTTTCGCTGTAGATACTTTATTGTTGATATGATAATTGAAAGACAGACGAGGGGATAGCGTTACACCGAGATATTTATATTCCTTAACAATTTCAATTTTTTTGTTATCGAAAAAAATCGATCTTTAGCAGCCAGCCTTCCACCCCTCCTAAATACCATGATCTTCGATTTACTTAGATTAACCGATAAATTCCATTGAAAACAGTACGATCCCAAAAGTTTTATATTCCTTCGGAGACTGGACGACCCCTAACCATCCCTAACCACCCCGAAAAAAGAAGTATCGGTAGTATAAAACAATTTATTCCAAATTGACCGGAACATATTTATGATTTTTGACGGCACCATAATTATTTGTTAAAAAGAATAAGATAAGGATCACGCTGGATTGTCCCTCTACCTTCAAGATTTATTTTGTCCTCAACAAATCTCAGGAACATAATAAAAATCTCACGAAATGTATGAAATGTCAAGGTCCACTGACCCGTGAGGTTTTCTCCTCCTTCTACAATATTTAAGACATCGAATTATATTTCTGTCAGATCCTTTCTCGAGATTATCGATACTCTCAACATGCCGTCCTTTTGATACTAGTAATGAATATCGATATTTTTCTTTCGGTACCTAATCCCCACCTCGGTTGTGTTATTATAACTGTTAGCACAAACATCGGCAACCGACTTCAATAAAGGATTCGTAAACATTTGTGCAAACACGTTGTACAAAGTGATGATTCATTCGACACACGACGTTACAAGTTGTCAGAGAACGTAGCGACACAAATCTCCTGTCGGTGCTTTCTAATTAGGAACCAACTCCTGGAATTAAGCTCGACGAACAGTTTAGGACAAAATCAAGAAATCTTTCTAAAGTAAGTTGAATTTGGGATATATTATAAATTTTACTGATGAATTGAAACTAAAAATAAACTATTATGATAATCGACGGTATTGCGATTGAATAATAATTACTTTAATACAATGCTTGATAGCTAAATTATAACATTTTTTTTCTGGCTTTACGTTTCCGCATTAGCCACCGGACTTTAAAACTCGTGTGCAACAACATGTAGAGGGTTGCTATTTAGGGGGTACCAAGAGGGCCACCAACCCGGACGCAGCCAACAAGCCGGGCGGATCAACGGGCCTGCCATTTGGGTATTCTTCTTTAGGAATATTCTTTCTCTATAACGAGGGTCTTAGCGGAAATGTGGATAAAAACCACTAACATCGAAATAATGTGGAAAAGTCTGGAGGCCCCCTTCTCCACCCACCAAGAAAACAGCAGCCGGACCGACGGCCCCCCCGACACCAGCCCGGAAACAAATTTTAACAATAACTTCATTAATTTCGTGGTCCGCTTACCAATTAATATATTACAATTAATTAAGGTTTTTAGTTGAGATAAAAAGTCAATGGCACGAGCGGGATTCGAACCCACGATCTTCGGCTTGATACACCGCTACTCTACCACTTTACCACTGAAAAATGGCAAAAAGGAGGGAAAATTCAAATGGTGCGGTTGAGATGGGAAGTTGGTGTCCGACTGGATCGAGGTCACGATAGCTCAGTATCCCACGATCCCGCTCGTGCCATTGACTTTTTTATCTCAACTAAAAACCTTAATTAATTGTAATATAACAATAACTTTGACGACAATCACTTAATGATGTTAATCGTTAAAAATATTTTTGATAGTAGACGCCGACCAAAATGATCGATAATAATCAAACTACAAGTTCATCACTCCACTTTCTCCATCTAGGTTTATGTTTTGTTTTAGGCCGAAAATCTTTCTCTTAAAAAAATAAACAAGGAGATTATTACGATAGGATGAATTTTTCCTTAAGACAATAAAAAACACAGTTTTTGTACATAACGTCCCGAAAAACCTTTTCTGCTCAAAGGTTGTG